ACACACACACACACACACACACACACACACACACACACACACACACAAAAGGACATGCATGCATGCAAACACACACACACAGATGGCTTATTCATAGATACTCACAGAAGCACTCAGTACACACACACACACACACACACACACACACACACACACACACTTACAGAGCCTTGCAGCAGTATCCAGTGGTATTCGCTCTTCTGCTGCTTCCTTTCATGCGTCTCTTTTCTGTCCGTCTCATTTTCAAAATCCCTTTTTTTTTCTCCTTCAAGCTTCTCTGCAGCTCGTTCTCACAGAGAAACTTCTCCTCTCTAGTTGTTTATAACTCAGAATGAAAAGACAACGCTCCCAGTGTTCCAGTCAGATTTCTCATAATCGGCTCCTGCTGGGCACTTTCTCTCTGTCTGTTGCTGCGTATACGAACTCATCGTACCAAACATTGTATTCAAAGTATGCAACAGTGAATTTCTTAAATTGTGACGTATAAAAACAGGCTGTGTGTGTAAAGTGCCCCAACGAACCGTTGAAACATGCAAACACAAACACAACAATCAGCACAGAGGACGAACCCATTGCATGTTCAGAGAGTTTCAGATCTCGGCACTTGTTACTGTAACTGGTCTGGCTGACGATCAACAACACGCCGCCGCTTCTCCCTGAAGCGGTTTGTCATTTTTCATTTGACATTTGTAGTTGTGTGTTTAACATACTGCTACTAGAAATTGAAAGCTACAATAATCGCAATATAGTGTATGTTACCCAAGTCTGCAGCTGCTTTAGAGCCTTTCAGCTCGTTGTTTCGGTTCACTCTCCACACTTCATCTCTGAAAACCCAGAGTTTTTTACCTGCTCGCCACCAAAACAGACCGACAGACAAAAGTTTGCTAGCTGGCCGAAACCAAAATGGACTTACATTCGCCCGAGTGGCGTTTATTGGGAGTTTACACAACTACTCTTAGTTTCAGGTTGTTATTCACCAATGAAAACATAGTTATACTCTAAATATTATATTCCAATTCTGCTCATAGAATCCCCAAAAAGCAACACACTGGCCCTTTAAAGACTTAAAGAAGTAAAGGAGAAAACGTCTCCTGTGCAGAGTTAACCATGAAAGATTGTAATGCAGCCTTATTATGAAGCCTTTCACTCCAAGATGAAGAGGGATTCTTGCTGTTTTTTGTTGGTATATATGGTAAATCCACCATGCCAACAGGTGCGTATATTCAACACATTCTCACTTCCAACTCGTCAAAAAACAGCAGCTTAGTCGGTGTCCCGAAGCTTCCAAACATGACGCTAAGAAACATACTTTTTTTAGACCAAAATACGGTAATGTAGTAACATTACGTAATTTAAATAAGTCGACGTTAGCGGCAGACACCACTCCAAGAATGCAGCGCTCTTTACGCAACCGGACTTCCTCCTGTTAAATGTGTGACATGTGACCAAACGATCGTAACAGAGTCTTCTACAAACTCCATCGCCCATCGTCTCATCCTTCCTTTAAACGTCTACACAACGGCTGAACATTTACAAAGACGTGTGCGGATCTGTCAGCAATAAATCATCGTGAAATGCTGTAATGAGTCTTAGATGGCTCTGAGAATTGAAAAAATAAAAATAAAAGACAGACGGACAGATGTTCCTTCAGTTCTGGTTCACATCAAAAGCATCGGAGAGAGGGAACAATAAATTATGAATATATAATGGTGAAAAACAGGCTGCTGGAGAGAGGAGAGCTGCCGCTTATCACACAGAGATATAATTAGACCAGATCCTTGTGTGGTTATTGTTGAAGGAGTGGGTTAGTTAATGCAATGTATCATCGAGAGTCTGTGTGTCCTCATTAGAGCCAGATCACATCAAAGCCTTTGCATGTGCAGCTTCATATATGTCAGACCGCATTAGCTGGTGCACGAATGTTGCCTTCTCACGTGAAAGTGGAATTGCAATTTTAGTCTCGCTGTCGACGATAAGAAAAGCTTTTGGACCAAAAACTGTGGAAAAGAAGAGGAGATAGTGACAGATAGGTTGTACTCTGTGGTTTTGAAGCCTTGACTTTGGCATTTTGGCTGTTGTCATCTTGTTTGTTTTTTTTGGATCGTCACCATCTTGGATTTTTGCAACCAGAAGTGACACGAGATGGCGGAGCTAAGTACAACCCAACTCTTAAAAAGAGATTCTTAGGCAACAAAAATGTTCAAATTAACTTTTTATGAAGTGAAAACACTCTGTGAAAGAGTTAAAGTTCTAAAATGAAAGACCATAAAGCATCCCCTGCTTTATGGTCTGTTTGACTCTAAATGGACCATAATGTACTAAATGAACATCATGCTGTATTGAAGAAGACTTGAAACTAGAGATTGAGACCATAAACTCATGTTTACAATGTTTACTGAGGTAATAAATCAAGAGAGAAGTAGAGTCATTTTCTCATAGACTTCTATACAACCAGAGGAGTCGCCCCCTGGTGGTCAGAAGAGAGAATGCAGGTTTGCAGTTAGAAAGTGGTTTAATTATTATTCTTTAAGATATTAAAGATATCGAAAACTGTCCTCTTATCATCTTTTTCTGTTTTAAAGTCTTTGAAGTAAATAATTAATTGAAAATGAAATAACTTTTATCATATTTCCATCTCAAAATATAATAAAACCGTCCGATAGTGCTCCCCCCAAAAATAATCCCTCATTCACTCACCATGATGACACTCGGGTCCTCCCATCATGTCTTGCTGCTGCTGCTGCTGCTGCTGCTGTGGAGGCAGCAGTGGCGGCGGTTGTGGCTGGACGGTCTCCAGTCCCAGCAGCGAGGAAGAGGAGGATGAAGAGGACATGGAGGAGGAAGAGGAGGAGCAGGGCGGAGGAGAGCTGGGAGGGCACTGGGAGCTCTGGTTGGGCACCGCCGACTGGGAGCTCTGGGAGGAGAGGAAATATACCATCAGTCTAAATCACGGCATCAACAAAGAGAACAGCATTAAATCCTTGATATGATGCGTCCATGTGGCGCGTGCTCTACCGGGTGAGCTATAGACGTTGCCCCACATGAATTTAATTGCAGTACGGCAATCACCCGACACCACAACTTTGTTAATAGAAAATACTAAATTAAACAATGTCATTAGAGAGGTATTTAGACGACATGCTAGCTCATTGAACGGCAGTGAGGATTCAGAGCAAAACAGACAAAGGAAGGAAAAACCTATTGTGCTTATTTAACTTTTCCTAGTGGGCCAGCGCAAGCCCCCAGGAGCAGCGCCGGGCTTGGAAGCACATTTTAAATCGTGGCCAAACGTGTTGTCTGTAACTGTGTTTGCTCTACGGGCCCCATAATGCAGGAGATCGCTGGAAGATCCAGGTTTTAACTCGGAAATTGGACTTTTTTTCCTTCACGGACCACTGAGCAAATGGCCGCCATTTTCATCACTGATCCAGTTCTCTTTAAACATCTAAACCAGGGGTCACTAATAAGCGGACCGCGGTCCGGATCCGGACCCAGACGCTGTCCTATCCTGACCCGGACGTATAACTGATGGATAATTGAGAACATTTTGGCGGAGCGCTTCTATTTTAACCTGCACAGCTTTTCTAGCCTTTACGGCACTCGGTCAGCAGTCCAGGAAATACACCGACCAATTACATGCGTTGGCAATTATCTCACGTGACGCTACTCAGCCAATCGAATATCTGTTTCCTGAAACGCATCGTGAGTCGAGTGAGATTTACACACAGACAGGAGAGAGACGGGGAGAGAGAGAGAGAGCAGTGGGAGAAGTAAGTCGGTGAAGCAGTTTCACACGGCGTGCTCTAAAAAGAGAGAAGTGGACCCTGAAAACAGAGCTTTTAACAAAGAATGGACGGACTCTTATTCATTCATTCTTCCTGCTGGCGCTACAAAACCACTCTGTCTCATATGTTCAGATACCGTGCCGTTATTAAATGCGCCACTGTGAAACGCCACTACGAGACCAAACATACCCACTCCAGTCTGAACTGAGGGCAAGATGTTGAGATGTATAGAGATTGTTTATTATAAAGTTGACTGAGACCGTTATGATGTGAGGTTTCCATCGGCGTTGTTTCCATTGGTCTCCATCGGCGTTTACCTGGGAGGGGATCTGGGCGCTGGTGGAGCTGGGCCCGTTGCCGTGCATCCCCATGCCGTTCTCCGTCAGGAACTCCTCCAGATCCATGTACTGCAGCTGGAACAGGCCTCCGTCACACGGCAGGGTCCTCTCCCACAGCAGCGGGCCCAGGAACGCTGACTGGGAGTTGGGCCGCAACGCGCCGGACCCAGGGGCCCCTCCGGACCCAGGGGCCCCTCCGGCCCCGGCGCTGTTACTCTGCGATTCTTCGTCAGAGTCCGAGGGCTTGTCTTTGTCTGGATAGAGAACCAGAAGCGTGTTAAGATTAGTTCATCTCGATACCGTAATGTGTTTACTGCGATCAAATGCTCTTCAGCTTAACGTGGCAGTGATCTATTGACTCAAACTAATGCAGTCTTTTGTTCCAACCCACTGTGTCCACTTTGGAAACAGCGTCTCATCATTTCAAGAGTGTGCTTTTATCTCTAAAAATGGTTCAATTGAATCTTAGATGTACGATGAAATAAAGACAAGTTATCCATTCGTTCATCCGCTGTTTTCAATCCCTAATTACCCAAAAACATATCAAAAATCAGATACAGCTGCAGAAACAGAGCGATGAAATCGAAATATTCCATCACACACTCTGTAAAAAAGTGCTTAAAGAAAGAGTCTGGTTGACAGATGGTCACAGGTTTGATCCCCTAAGGGTAACACACACACACACACAAACACACATGCACACACTGGCGGGCGCATGATGCACATCAAAGCCCCGATTTTAATGTGTGACGACACTCCGAGGGGTTCTGCTAAATGCAGCCTTACTCGGTCTGCTGGGACCATTAGCTTATGGTGGCTAATGCTAACTGTAGATGTCACCGAGTCAGTTTGCTGACTTCATGAGTCTCTTATGCTGCTGCTGCTGTTTTAGGATTTGTCCGTGACTTTTGCAGAAACGTCTCGTGACCCAGAGACTTCTGGTCATTTTATATATTTTTTTTAAAAGACTCAAAAAGTGACAAAGTTTGGGTCATTTCTGACGGCCAGATAGCCTTTGGATCGCTTAGTTTCAGATGTATGATCCAGATCTTGCATTTATTTACAAGAAAATTCACTTCAAAGGACAAACACCGATCAACAAACAGCTCCGGGGGGTTCTGCATCGTCTCTTTGATGAACAGCAGCTGAGGTTTATGCCGCCGTCCTTTGCTTTCTGTGAAGCACTTCATTAAAAGGCATCTATAAATAAAGTTGACTTGACTGACCCTGCACTCTGACCTCCCGCAGAGGGAGGAGGGAGGGGTGGGGTGGGGTGGGGGGGGGGGGGATGATGGAAAGATAGATGACAATATCAATAAAGCATCGGCAGAAAAAAATAAATGCCGCAAGCAACCGAAGTTCATGGCAACACACGGAGAGAAGTGGAGCGATAATATCATGATATGTGATAATATCATTCTGCAGAATGACGCCTCCAAAAAGTGCATATTGAATAAATAGCACACTGAATAATAAAACCCAATAAAATAGTAATAAAAGAGCATATTTAACTGGGCTGGGATGACAGTGTAATGAGACAGAGAGAGACCGGGGGAGAACATCAGGAAGCTTTAAGTTTAAAGGGATTAAAGAACATTGAGACACAAGAGATTACAATGTGGAAACAGCAGAGGGAGGACAGAGGAAAGAGAGCAGAGTCGAGACCATCATCATCTCTCTGCTACAGTCATCATCATCGCATGTTGTACACAGTTGTTGCAATCTCTACATAAATATCAACGACTAAATCTGAATATTTCTGCATTGACATGCAGGAATGAGTCCTAAAACCCAGAGATGAGTCAGCATTGTTGCTCTTCCTGTTCCCCTCGTCTCAAAGTCGATGGGTATTTAAACGGGGTTGTGGTTCACACAAGATTAAGACATTTTAATGTTTTGTTCTACGATATATAAAGTTTGTCATTAAATATATTTTTACGTGTTACGTTAAAAAAGGCGGTTGCTAAGAAAGTGAGACTAAAAAAACGCGACTAGTTTGCCTTCACGGTCTAGTTGTGTCGTCCGTTAGCTTTACGTTAGCATTTTACCTTTTGAAAATGATAAAAGTCGTCTTCATTTGTGTATACTTATCTGTAAGTATTATGAACTTGTCTTCGTCACAGAGATTATTTTCTGCAATAATCTGAAATCCAACGCAAACATCTCCATTGGCTTTTTGTGGAGGGAACCAGCGATGCTAACTTCCGGGTTACCTCACAAAAATACGTCATCCCTGCAGCGCTGTATGTACCCGTTTACAGCTAACAGCGTCTGTGCCGACTAAAGATGACGGTGATAGTTTGTCACTACTGGTTGGGTGAGGCCCATAAAAGAGGTGTATGGACCAGGTTCTGTACTAAATGTATGGCACATATTAATCCAGAATAAAAGAAGAAGTCGTGATTTATTCTCAAAGTCTGCTTTCACTGCATTTTGTGGCATCTTTACTTTTGTTGATACACAAACTTTTCCACCTCAGCCGAGTGTTAAAAAACTCTTATTGCGATCTCTCATTTTTTTCTGCATATTTTAGGCGAATACTTACAAGAACGAATCAATATGACATATCAAAATCTTTGTTTAAGGGACACCATTGCACAGGCAAAATAAAACAACAACAACGAAGCATTTCCATTCATCTCCAAACAAAACTGCATCAAACACACAACTTATTGAGAGTCCCCTGCTTATTGTGCACTGCATGAGGCTACCAAGTGGTTCAAGAACAGACAGCGGTATCCACTGTATAAATATGGGAATCGCACCAAAACACAGCTGATAGTCTGACGGTGTAGCCACAACAACCTGTAACTCAAGTTCCTCAGCGACAGTAACGTGACCATCATCAAAGAGTAACAAGAGTACAAATCACTCATTTGTGTGCTCAAGTGATTCATTCAAATGACTGAATCTTTGCACACAAATTAAAAACATACCTGCACCAGCAGGCTCCATATAAAGGAAAGCAAAAATAACAATATGAGATGTGACTTCAAGAGAAATGAGGAAATCCCTTTGAGAGCAGCAGCAGGAGGAGAGAATGAAAAGAGCAGGAGGGGAGATGGAAAACAGAACAGAGAAATGAGAGCGTACTGTAAAGGATGAGGGAGAAGAAGAGCAAAAAAAGAAAAAATGTAAATCAGCAGAGGGACCGAGGAGGAGATATGAAGAAGAAGAGAGCGAGACAGGAAAAAAAAAAAAAAAGACATGTGAGAGACAGACAGGAGGAAGCGATGAGCTCGACGGAGTGGGTGTTTGTGAAGGCGTCAAACAAAGCGAAGCAGCGAAACATTGTCTCTGGAAAGAGAACGGCACCAAAAAACATCACACAGCAACATCTTCTTTTTTCCCAACACACCCCTGAACGCATCACCTATCATTAGGAGAGTGTGCACTCTATGGGAGCTGACAATGAGGCTGTAGCCGGGGCCTCTGAGCTGCTTTCTGGCTCCATGGAGAGCCTGTCAGCCGCGCTCACCATCACCTCCTCCTCCTCCTCATGCAACAGAACAGAAAGGAGCTGCAGTAGCAGCAAGAGGCCACCAGGGGCCGCCAGAAAAAAACCCGCAGGGAGCATTTGGAGAGGCTTTGTTTTTCTCCCTCTCTCTTTCTCCGTGTTCAGGTTTAACCGTACTTGTGAGGGCCGAGTCTCGACGGTCCATTCTGTGTCCTCACCGAGACAAAACAACAGAGGTCGGGTTTTTTAAATTGTCCTTTTTAAAAGTGTCCTCACAAGCCCAACATGAACCAGTGTGTTACTGGGAGCTATGACAGCGAGAGAGAGAGAGAGAGAGAGAGAGAGAGAGAGAGAGAGAGAGAGAGAAAGGAAGGAGAGGCAGCCTGGTTAATATTTGTCATGGCAGCTGGTGGATGGGAAACAATTCAATCCCACTCACTAACCTTTATTTAAACAGAGCAGAGGATCAGAACGCAAACGACTGCTGCTGCTGCATTTTGACGGCATCCACTCCAGATTGCAATTCTTTTTTTAAACCCTCTTCCTCCTCCCCCTCTTCCTCCTCCTCCTCCTCCTCCTCCTCCTCATTTCATTCCTCCACCAAATGCAAAAAGGAAGCGTTTAATATGAAAATCCAGCAGGAGGAGAGCTGAAGTGAAAACTGAGTGTGTGAGAGTGTGTTGAACAAGCAGGGCCTCTGTATTTTACAATCACACCTACCCACACAGTCACACACACACACACACACACACACACACGCAGCAATGAATAATCACTGTAATATTCCTGTGGTATTTCTGCAAAGACTTACATTGATAGAGAGAGGTTCTGAAATGAATACTTATTGTTTGTTTGTTGTTCGTATTAGAGCAGTAATATATTATGTTGGTTATCAATTCATATACCATTTATTTTCTTGATTAAATAATGAAGAAGATGCAGAATATAACATCTCAAAGGAATAGCTGACATGTTCACATTTCTTCTTTTATCCGACCAACAACCAGAAACCCAAATGAATGCAGTTCAGTGTCGGATATGACAAAGAAAAGCAGCAAAATCATCACATTTGAGGCTTGACACAAAGAATGTCTGACTGTAGTTTTAGCTCTATTTCATATTATATCACTAAAATATTGGAGTAATATTTCTGCAGGAGCTTCACATGTCTCTGAGGTGCATTTATAGTTCAGGATTATGTACTTTGCACTTACAATAATACAATTCACACAACCTCCTAACAGAGGCATTGCACTAAAGTGTACTGTAGTATATTTTAATGCTTTTGTAGTACATTAACATGTATTGTAGTATATTGTAATGCACTTGTAGTACATTAAAGGGTATTGTAGTATATTGTAATGCACTTGTAGTACACTAACATGTATTGTAGTATATTGTAATGCACTTGTAATACATTAAAGGGACATTTCTCTTGTATAATCCTGAAGTGATTTGTTGGCTTTGGTGTATTCCTTACTGTCTCTTTAAGAAGTTTCTCGCCTATCAGAACCCTCTCTCACTATCTCAAACAGACACACACCTACACACACACACACACACGTTCACACACGAACACGTGCACACACTCACCTTTCATCTCGCAGCAGTCCTTGGTGCCTCTCTGGTCGGCCTTGATTGGCAGCTGGAGCAGGGACTTCAGGTTGGTCATGGAGGTCAGGTGTCCGCCTTGGGGGCCACTTCCAGTCGGGCTGCTGGCCCCAAACTGGGGGCTGGTGGCCCCGGCAGGGAGATCCGGAGGTAGAAGCTGAGTGAGAGGCCTTGACATAACTTCAATGGAGGAGGTGGGAGTTAAAGGGGGGAGGAGGAGGTGGAGGAGGAGGCGGCGAGGAGGAACAGAACCTGCAGACCGTGAGTTCAAGATCAAAATAATCCAATTAGCGACACTAATTGACAGGCGCGACGTCAAAAAGTGCGCGCGCTCAAGATCTCCACCTGATATCCCGCTTTTCCGCCCGTCCCATGAAGAAAAAACGTGTACTAAAAACAACACAAAAAAAAAGAAAGGGGGCACTTATCTCCAAAATGGCACCATGTCCGCCGAGTCTAATGCATCCTCTCAGACTGGCCGAGCGCTCACGAGCTGCTGTCACCTCTTTCTCTTCTTTTCTTATTTAACTAACTCAGCTCCGCACTAATAAACGCACCACAGGAAGACGGACTGAATCCTGGAGCTCTGCAGCGAGAGAAGTCCCCCCCTCCAACTCCTTCGAGTTTGTTGGAGATTTAAAAAAAAACAACAACACTCACAAACTCACCCTCGGGTCCTGCTGATTGATTGATTGATCGATCGATCGATCGATCGATCGATCGGAGAGTCTTTAGTCCGGAGGTGGAAAAGCAAAAAAAATGACGACTGGAAGCAGATTGAAGCGGCGGTAGAGTCCCATGCAGAGTAGAGACAGAGGAGTAGAAACAGTAGAAAAAAATAACTTGTGATTAAATATGAGCGAGAAAATATAAGATGAAGGAAATAAAGAGAACCCCCCCCAAAAAATAATAATATCCAGTAGTATGAGAGTCAGATAGATGAGACTGATGGCTCTTATTTTCCTCCCTCTCTCTCCCTCCCTTTCTCCCCCTCGCTCTCTCTCTCCCTCTCTCTCTCTCTCTCTCACACACACCTCTCTCTATTTTCCTCGTTCTTTCTGGTTCTCTCTCTCTCCCAAGTCAGCTGGAACCAACACGGGCTGCTCGTGTGACGTCAGCGCTCACGGGGGAAAGGCGATTGGGGGCGTCGATCCTTTGCATAAAGAGGCCACGCCCCCACTGTCCTCGGTAACGCGCTCTGCGTTCACGGATGCATGGGAAAGCTGGTAAATCTGAACTTTTCCACTTGTGGACAAATGCGATACCGACTTAAATTTATTAAAAAGGGGAAACGTACAGGATTCAGAGCATTAAAGGGAAAGTTCACCATGGAATTAAAAATATACATTTCTTCATCATTTTGGAACTATGGTGGAGAGAAAAGTCGTTTACAAGTTTCTGGCAAAGTTATGATTTGCGTTTTTGTTTTTTATTATTATTGTAGTTGGTGGGTTTTAAAGTATTGATTGGGCTGGAAACTGTCACTCTGATCTGGTAACACTCGCTCACGGCCGCCGCCGCCGCTCGTTGCAGAAGCCAGACCTCCGGGTAAGGGAAACACTGTTAGCTCTATCAGCACTTTTCGCGTATTTTGCGCCGTTAGCAGCGAGACCCCGGCTCAACCACCGGCATGTTGAGAGCTACTGAGAGTCAATATAAATTATTAATATCCCAAACCCCGTCTATTGCACCTTTAAGGTATGATAATAATAATACATTTTATTTGTATAGCGCTTTAAAATGTACTTAGAGGCACTTTACATGGTAAAGACAGAAATAATAAAAGCAATAACAATATAAACAGAAGTAGGAAGACGATTAAAATCTAGGTTTGGATTATTAAAAATGGTGTTTAACTTATTATACAAGTTAGTTTGTTAGAAACTTTATTGGACACAATGTGGAAAAGTGTCTTTGGCTTCATCATCAATATAAATCACAAATAAGACAAAAGTGAGAATCAGTAAAAACATTCAACTTGGACTGATATGCGATCAAACAGCCTAAAAATTGTACATTGAGCAGAATGTTGAAGCTATTATAACGATATTTTTAATATATATATTTGATAGATTATCATTATTTAATATACTATAAAGTCTCATTTTCAGTTCACTTAATAGCAGTGTAGTGGTTAAAAAACAAAAGTGAACCCAAAATGTTTGCTGTGCTTGCCCAGTGCGCCCGTATTTATGATTCCTCCGGTTGTACATGAACGCAACACAGATTTGCATAACACACAACACCTCCCAGCGATTTCAGCCAATGGCTGACAGCGGCTGGGACTGCTGCGCACTAAGCCACGCCCACCCTGAGCTGAGCTCCTTCCTGGATGGACCGTGAACGCACCCCGCCCCTCTCTTCTTCTCTCACGCTGTCATCTTTAAACAGGGAGGCCCAAAAAACAACAGCGATGACCACTGAGTAGTAAACCCCTAAAAAAAAAAAAACAGAGTCGAGACGTCAGGATGCGGTTTGCTTCCCTCATGTTTTCCCTTCTCGGTTTCATCTGAGAAATGTGGGACATCTCTCGTTTTTTTTCCCAAAAACGTGACATGATTTGAAGAGTCAGAATAATCAACTCAAACAAAGCGTTGATGTTTGTGGGCGGATGTGACGCACAACATATCTGTAACGTTTTGTATCGAATATGTACATTTCCTATGTTGCGATTTGTCAGAAACATAAACTGATACATTTTATATATAATGTGTCTTAATACATTGAGTGGTTCACATCATTAGATTTGAAGTGGTTCGTTGTATTTAATCCCATGAACTGAACACGGTCACGTTCGTCTGTTTTTCTCCTTGTTTAAATGTCCCTATCTGCCTCTCGCGCTCGGAACACCAAAGAAGCACATGGCTTCGGCACGCGCTGACTGTTGCCTACCGGCGACCCTGCCGCGTCACGATTGGCTGAATGTAGGTCAGTCGCTGCCTCCACCGCACTCCCATTGGTCAAAATTAGGTCACAGTCTCCGCCCACAGGTTTCCCGATGCAACTGCCGCGTGACGGCCCGTCTGGAACGAGGGGCGGGAGGGGGGGGGGGATTGTGTGGATTAGTGTTTGAAAAAATAAATAAATAAATAAATAAAATCACATTTATTTGTTTCTTTATATAAAATTTAACAAAAATAAATAAAAATATATAAAAAATATATATTTAGAGTAATAAAATAAAAGTGCAAAAAACTGAACATGAAACAAATAATAAAAAATAAAAACAGGAATAAAATAAGAAATGAAAATATACCCCAAACTTAATATTTTTTATTGTAGTACTTTTTGAGCTGCATGTTTTATTTACCTGTTATAAAGCATAATGTTGTGTTAAATAGTATATATATATATATATATATATATATTTTTTTTTTTTTTTTTTTTTTTTATTTGTTTCATTTCGGTATCCTGTGTATTTGCTTGTTTGTGTGTTGCATGTTTTAACTTCCATGTTGTATCGTAAAATATCTTAATTGCCTTTTAATATTAATTATAACTTTGTCTACACTGCATGCATACAACCAATGTCAACATGTATTTCATTTTATGGTCTTTTCTCAGGATGACGTTCAGAAACTACAGCCGAAAAATCTAGTTATAATTTTTTTAATAAAGATAAAAAATACCCTTGTGGGTAACTTTAGGACAGTTACAGCACTGTTTATTAATGTGCACATTAATGTGCACCGTCCCTGCTGAATAAATAACAAAAAAACATCTTGGTGTGGTTTCATTGGTGTTCTTTGGTTGTGCACAGAGGTATTTACATAATGGCCATGTTTGGTCTCGTTAATCAAGTCCTGTCATGTGTATTTTGTGCAGATCAGAGTGAAAGCTGCAATGGCAAATCCATAACTTCAATAACAGCCCAATAATAACCGCCTACAACAGAAATAAAGGCATAAATCACCCTTGAACATGCCACATCATGCGTTTCCTGTTGATACTAATTTGACTGATTCATAAATCAGACGTAGCAGCTGCACTGTGGGAACAACAGTTCTTGGAAAGGACCTGAAAAAGCCTGCAAGTCCTATCTGGTGACAGAGCGCCATCAAATATACGTGACAGGAATGTGCTAGTAGTAAGAGTCCAAAATTATCCATGTGTGTGTGTGAGTGTGTACGCTGGCATGCATTAGTGAAAGTGAGGAACAACAGCTTGACTCCACTAATGTGTGATCTGAGTTTCACGAGCCATTTCCAATTCACATTATTTGCCCCCTCGTTCCTCCAGCCATCAGTTTAAAGTGTTTAAATGGCGCCATCTAGCGGCCGTTTGACAGTAATGCACCGACACATTACATCACCAGCAGTGGAAGGTGACCGAGTACTTCTACAACATTGTTGAGAGTTCAATAACAAGAAATCAAATAGCAAACTTTCATCCTAAAAACTGTACATTTAGACTTGTTTAAGCTATTATGACAATATTTTTCACTATAATAGTTAGTAATAATAGTTTAAGATTACATTTTTCATATTGATTTTGACTGTAATAAAGTGGAGGAGGCATTGCTTTGTGTGCTGTGTTAACTGTATTTAAAAAGCCTCTTGGATCAGATTAAAGTGCATCGTCTCAAAGCTGAAAGGAGAGAAGTCTTTTGAGAGGCCTGAGGTTCTCACAGGACAAACATCATCTCATAGAATATGATGCATCGCTGTAGCTTAAACGAGCCAACAGTATACAAAGGAGTTAACATTAAACATACACATTAATGCAGAAGTAATATTAAGCATGAATCATCATTTTACTGCACAATAAGTACTTTAAGTATTTTTCTTGCATCTGTAAGTAAAAGGGTTTTGAATGCAGGACTTCTACTTGTAATAAGAGTATTTTCACAGTATTTTACTTCAGATAAAGGATAATGAATGATAGCTTTTACAACTAGAGCATCCTCTTCTCCACATAGTGTTTCATGAGACACGTGTCTCCTCAGGCTGATGCTCATGAAGGCATTAATGGCTCACCTGACCGCTCCAGGTGCACAACACCTGAGCTCTGATCACAGATGTATCTGGAGCTGCAGCTCTGTGAGGGAGGGAGGGAGGGAGGGAGGAAAGGAGGGAGGGAGGAGGGACAGGCAGTGTGTCAGAGAGGGAAACCACTTCAGCATCCCTGCAGGAGGAAAAGAGTGGATAAAAATACACACGGTGTATTAATGATCAGAAACGAGCTGCTGTGTTCGTGTCGTTCTGAGAGTTCTACTGGAGGAGCTGGTGGTGCTGGATCCTCACGGGGTTCAAAGGTTATTAATAAAAAGGAGCAATAGTTTAATGTTCCTCAGATCCATACACATACTGAACCAAACTATTATAATCCATGTTTTCTACCGTCATAACAGAAACCATCGTAAACCAAAAGCCCCGTCCAAGTAAAATTTTCTTAAAACTTCATCATTACACCTCGACAGCTTTTAAACTTCTAAATATTCAAAAGTGTTCTTGTCCGTCTGAAACTCAAACTGTTTTAATCAACTTAATTACAACTCAATGAAATAAATGTCATCAATAGTTTGGATTCAGGGACTATTTCTTCAGTAGAATGAACTTGTGACGGTACCCTGAACATCTGGGACAATGTTTGTTTTTTATTTCACCAGAAGTGAAACCTCATTGACGTGTTGGGCTGAAACAGACACAAAATAAAACCACATCTGCGTGGTGAGATACAACCAGTGGCAAGTAAAGAAACATTATTTTAGTGGTTTGGTTTTTAAACTCACTGCTGTGGTTCAGCCTCGAGAAGGAAAACCACCGTTCGTCTTCTAAACGATCCGATTGGTGCAACGACGAACACATCTGCTACAACTCGTCCGTCTGTTTCACTAAGTGTGAGGATATGATTATAATACATGTACGTGAAGGTGAGGACGAGAAGGAATTAAAATGATCAAAATCAATTTAGGAGCAGCTTGAATTAAGGCCGACTGGCACAATATTATCTGATTTAAGAGGCTGTAAATTCTGCATATGCTTTATAATAATGTCCAATAAGTTTAAGACATATTTGGTAATAAATAGAGATAATATTTCATTGGTAGCCTTCTCATGAAAACATTTGAATCCTGTCAATAGAAAGGCGATATATATTGCGGAAAGTATTAAATTGAGCTTTTCTTTCAAGGAAATCCTATTTTCCATAAATGTAGTAATAAACTATAAAGTTTTAACTTTATAGTGTATTACACAATTCATAAAATTAAAAACCTTTTTAAACCCAAATTCAAAAGCACAAGTGTGAAATCACTTCTCTTATTTATCTAGAAAGGGAGCCTTCTGCTGTTAACATGAACTTAAACCAACAGCAGCATTTCAGATTTTTTATTTATTTATTTTTTTTTTTTTTTTTATTTGATTTGAGGGTTTTCAACAACTCACTTTTAGGCAAAGAAAAGGATAGTAATTTAGTAATAATATTACATGTTTTAGTTTTACAGGGAGGAAAAGAAAGAACACGTCTGGACAGGACCTAAGTAATGAACTATGTGTACACACTTATGTTACAGAAATTGGGCATAACTGTGGCAATGAGGGAGCAGATAAAAGGGAAACAATATCACATCGATACATATACTCGTCCCGCCGTTTTACAAAGATAGTCCCCCAACTCGTCACCTCCCACCCACACAATACCAACGATGATAAAAGAAATGATACCTGGAGTAAAAAACAGCAAATAATCAATATATAATAAAATATAATACCAATTGTACAGTACACTCCGGTTATTTCTGTTGTCCTTTTTCAAATCCTCAACACATTAACAGTTTGAGTCGTGTTTGTTTCCTCCGTCCACGCCTCGTTAAAAAAATGACAAAAGTAGTGTACATTAAAAACAAGGTCAACACTGTTCCTCCTTCTGATTGACAGATTACACCTTTTACTCTTCATGAGGATTTCTAGGTTTCTCTTAAAAAGATCTATTTATCTCGAGGGCATCTCGGTATGAAAAATAAAAAGTGAGAGATTCTCCACCGGGGTAACAAATAAACACATACAGAGCAAGAGACACGGACTACACGGTTTAACTGTGAATAATGTGGAAACAATACACCGGTACTGAAAAGGTACCTCACAACTACGGCCACCTTCCAAATCCATAATTAACACTGCTAATGGGGAAAAATAGAAGTTCCTCCACCTCAGGAAAAACGGACACAGATGAGGGTGGTTGTGATTTCTGGCCTTTTGAAGTCCGCTCTAATGAATCGACGACCGTTTGCTGCAGTAAGTTAAGGATACAGATGTGTGGGGGTGTTACGTAGTTACACTAAACCCTCCGTCCTCCCTCCTTGTTCTGTTAAAAACTTCTTGCTCGCTTCTTGGATTATTTAAAAAAAATAAAACATCAAAACAATCTAGTCTAGAAAACAGTTTTTTTTGTTGTTGTTTTTTTGTTGTTTCTACTGACTGTACTCAGTCAGAACTGTTGATCTCTCCGGCTGGACCAGAACCGGGACTGCTAGCTGGACTGGTGAATTGTCACTTTCCGCCTGGTCGAGTGGCGGGGGGGGATTTCGTCTTCATCAGCGCCCAGCTCCCCGCGGCGGTCACCCCCCGGCAGCAGAACTTGTGGCGGTCCAGGAGCCCGGGGTTCCAGAAGCGGTGTCGGCACCGGCGGCATTGGAACGCAGCTTGTTTGAGGTGCTGGCCCCTGTGTTTCAAGGCTTTGTGTAACGAGCTGGTGCGCCTCCCGCACACCTGGCAGCGCAGACGGGCGTGGCGGCCCGAGCTCCTCGGCGGGTGCCGGACGGCGTGGTGGATCAGCAGGGAGCCCTGCTTGGCGTACGTGGCGCTGGGGCAGATGGGGCAGGGGAAGCGCTTGATGGGGACGTCCATCGAGGTGAGCCCCGTGACTCTGACGGCGCCGCCGCTCCACCACTTGACCCTCATCAGGCCGCCCTTCACCCTCAGCTGGGCCAGGATCTTCTTTTTCTTGAGCTGTGCCTGCAGTCGGCCCCTCCTCTTCCTCAGGACCAGCAGCTTCTTGCGGGTGTCTTTACTCAGGGGGACACCCACCAGCTTTCCGTCTCTCATGATGCTGTGGATCAGCACGCGCCTTTTTTTTTTCCTTTGCTTTCTTGTTTGTCCATGCCGCTTTTGGTAGTTTTTTGAGCGGTAGTGAAAAGGGTGCTGCAGCTGCTGATGCGGTTGTTGTTGCGGTTGTTGTTGTTGCTGCGGTTGCTGTTGTTGATGCTGCTGCGGCCCAGAGTTCCCTTGCTGCATATGAGATGACCCGGCGTAGTTGGAGCCTGATCCAGAATCATAGAAGAGTGGCGAGTACCCGGTGGGTTGGGGCTGGTTGACGCGCTGGCCGCTGCGGTCGATGCCGTGCTGAGACAGCTTGTGGCGCACCAAGCTGTTGGAGTAGGCGAAGGCTTTACCGCACACGTCGCAGCGAAAGGACTTCTCCAGGCCGACCCCGCCACCGTGGATCGTCTGCTGGTGTGCCGTGAGGTGGAAATAGTGCCGGAATGACTTCCAGCACACGGTGCAGGTATAAAGCCTCTGAGAGGGGGTGCCGGACGTCGGAGACTTTTCTCCTTGGGAGCAGGTTGAGAAGTAGTCAGGGTTTCCCGAGGTGGCCACTTGGCTGATGGCGGCAGCAGCGGCGGCAGCAGCAGCACCTTTAACTCTCCTCCCCTGGCTGTCAATCTCACCTTTTCTGTGCAGCTTTCCGTGTCTCACCAGGCTCTGTGCGTAGGCAAACATCTTACCGCATAGATTGCATTTGTAGTTCTTCTGACCCGAGTGCACGGTCAGATGCTTGGTGAGGTGGAAAGGCTCGCGGAACATTTTGCCGCACACGTCGCAGGCGTGAGGCTTCTCCCCCGTGTGGACGCGGTTGTGGCGCCGCAGGGTCTCCGCCCGTCTGAAGCGCTTGCAACAGATCTGGCAGCTGTACGGCCTCTCCGTCCCGTCCCCTGGGGGCGCGGGGCTCCTCCGCCTCCTGACAAGGTTGCTCGGGTCCCTCTTCTCTCGGGGCTTCCTCGGCCTCCTGGGCTTCGCGTGGGGCTGGCTCGGGTGGGTCAAAGGCATGGTGGACCCGTTGAGGCCCGACGTGGATGACGGTCCACCCATGTTACCAAACCCCAACCCCCCCAGCAGGCCTCCGATGATATCCCTCCTCTCTCCTTCCCGGCCTTCTGAGTTTATATCACAGGAGGCTGCGGCGGCAGCGGCGATGGCCGACATCGCGCTGCTGGTGACCTCGTCCTCCGAATCATCCAATAGGGAGGAGAGGGGGAGGTGTGGCTGCGGTGGTGGCGGCGGCGGTTGGTGGTGGTGATGGTGATGGTGGTGTTGCTGCTGCTGCTGCTGTTGTTGCTGCTGCTGGCTCTGTGGGTGGGGGTGAAGAGTTGGAGCTAAAGGGGCCTTACGCAGAGTCTGGCTGCTCATTTCACTGGCTAGCGTACTCTCAGACGAGTACAGAGACGAAGATTGCGATCGCCTGTAGTCATCGACCCCGCTGTTGTAGGACGACTGGCTCTGGTAGCGATTTCTGGAATAATCCGGTGCATACTTGTCATTAGTCATTGCTGCCCCATCGTTTGGGACTCCCACTCTGTCCCCGCTGCTTCCCATTTTACTGCTGCTCGGGTTGGAGGACGAGCCGCTCCCTCCGCTGTTGGCCCGATTTTTTGAACTCCGGGGAGGTTTGCCGCAGGCGCCTGATGCGGCGTGGTTCAGAAGAGAGGTGCTCTCGCGGAAGCAACGCCCGCAAGCCGGGCAGCGGAAAGGCTTCTCGTCGTGAATCTTCTCGTGTCTCGTGAGAGACTCTCGCCGGTTGAAGGACTTTTGGCAGATGGTGCAGACAAAAGGCCGGTTTTCCGAGTGGGTGACGCTGTGTTGGATGAGGTGACCCCTCTTTTTAAATCTCTTCCCACACTCGCCACAGCAAAATATCCTCTCTGGACTGGGAGAGTTACAGTCCGACTTCCTGCTTTGGCTTTCTGGCGTCAAGCCGTGGCTGCGGAGATGCCGTCGAAGGCTGGAGAGGTGGGTGAAGGTTTTGCCACATTCACCACAGTGGTAAAGGGGTTCCGGTTCGGGCTGGCCGGACGAACTATTACTGTGGCTGTCCTGGGATTTGGACAACTGTTGGTTACCGTTGGCTACAAGCACAGAGGTGGAGTTGGAGGAGGGAGGGGCAGACGAAGAGGAGGAGACGGTGGAGGACGACTGCTGCGAGGACGAGGAGAGGAGCGAGGAATGCGGCGGCTCGCCACTTATCCCGACACCCCCAGATCCTCCTCCCACGAGGCCCGATGAGGAGCTCTGACTGTGCCCACTCGAGCTGCTGTTGTGGCAGTTACCAACAGTGCTGCTGCTTTGACTGCTGCTTTCCGATTTCCTCTGCGGCAAGTAGCCCGCCATCGCTTTCTTTCTCCTGCTCCCTCCGCTCGAGGCGGACGACGACGAGCTGTCCCCCGTCTTCGCGTCGTCCTTAGAGAGGGACAGGTGTAAAGGCAGTGGAAGGGGAAGGCCGGCCTCCTGCTGCATTAGTGACGCGATCTGGTTCGAGGAAAGGACCGGAATGCCTTGGAAATCAAAGCCACCCAGCGGGGCGGGCTGGGGAGCTGGGTGGAGTGGGTGCGGGTGGTGAGCGTGGCTGTGTGGATGAGATAAGGCGTGGGGGGTGAGCTGCTGCTGTTGCTGCTGAGGCGGTGGACCTGCGTGGCTGTGGCTGTGCGAGGAGTGGAGGGCCGGGGGAGGGGCCAGGGCCGAGTTTGACTCGGACCCCTGGCCCAGACCCAAGCCCAAGTGGTTGTGAGTGCCTTGCTGGACGAGGAACTGCTCGAGGCTGCTGTTGGTGGGGACGCCTGACAGGAAGTACTGGTTGGCGGCGAGCATGCAGCTGAACTGCTGGTGGAGGCTGCGGGGATCCGACTGGCCGACTAAGGGGACCGCAGTGCTGCCGGAGGGGTTGTTGGAGGCCGACGAGGGGGAGGGTGAGGAAGAGGGGGGACCGGGGGAGGGCTGGGGGACAGAGAGACCCGGATGCAGCGGCGGAGGCGGGGGTGCGGGCGTGACGACCCCGCCGATGACCCCCGCGCCGCCACCGCTGCTGCTCCCGCCAAAGTCAAACCGGCCCATCCCCGAGTGGAGCTGCTCCTGAGCCAGCGCAGCCTCGGCCGGGTGAAAGGGCCGCATGAACTGGGGGTACCCCGAGCTCCCGCTGCTACTGCTGCTCATCTTGCTGGACTTCCGGGAGCTGTGAGACGAGGACGACTGGCTCTGGTGGGAGATGGATGGGGGAGGGGCGCTCATCTTGGCGAACAACGACGACGAGTCGGCGAAGGCATTGCTCCGAGAGCTCTGGAGGGGTCCGAGGCCGAGGCCGGACAGGAGGCTCCCCGAGCCATCGACGGAGGGCTGGTGCTGCTGCTGGAGCTGCTGTTGATGCTGCAGCTGGACCTGCTGCTGGTGGCTCAGTTGTCGATCCAACCCGAGGCCTTTGAACTGGTGGGCCTGGTGTCCACTCAGCATCTCTAAGATGTCCATGGGGTACTTGCTGAACTGGAACATCTTCCAATACAGCTGGGGGCAAAGTGCCACGTGGCCACAACTGCCACGTGCACCGAGCCTGTGATTGCTGGAACCAGCGGTGACCCCTTGTCAGGGGATTTTCAGAGGTAGTGCGGACCCCAAAAGATCCAACAAACCCCTATAATCCAACAGAAGCCGATGCTTCAAGTGCTTCTGTGGGATGTTATATAAAAAAAGGTTCATAAATAGGCAAAAAACTAAATCATACTAAAAAAATTTAAAAAGAGTCTGTAGTGTTTCTTTAAAGTCTTCCATAACCGTACGCTGATTTTATTTTTGTGTCCGTTACTTCAGTGGAGCATGAACCGCTGCTTCACTGCCCGTCCGTCCCCTCATGGAGTTATTGGAACCTGAAGAATGAGAAGAGAAACAATAATGTCAGTTAGTGATTCGGCGACTTCATACGGAGCAGATAAACAAAACACTTTTTGGTACGCAGAGTTCAACAACACTGTGTTGCTCATTCCGGATGCTGAACGTCTCAAAGGGAACCGAAATAACAAGTCTGTTTACAACACATTGATTTAGCTGTAGATAAACATCTTTTAATTGTATTATTTAACGTTTGCCAGTAACTCTAATGTTCACTTCCTGTTGAGACCGTCAGGTGCTCCTGGTGCCTGTAGTTTTGACTGATGCATTACTGCATATTGCAAACTTGAAGGTTTTATTCCAAAAGGGTGGTAAGTGTTATACATCTCATTTTCAAAATAAAGTGTAACTATAGTCACTGAAATCTAAACCTTTTGGCTAAAAATACATCTCAGCGGAAGAGGAAATTGCATCCTCTTCATACTGAACATCCACTCAGAGGCCCGATGAGAGAAAATATTTTTGTGTTGAAATCTTGTAAAGCGATCGGGCCTTTTGGTTTGTTTGTTCAAACTGGTAAAATGTTATTCTTCAGCCGGATTTCTAATATCGGCCGCCTGAACCCAACGAACCAACCGCTGATGTGAACTCATAACTCCACTGTGTGCAAGGGGTTTTCTTTAGTTCTTATAAATATACAAAATACGGTGTGGTTGTACAACTGGTCTCTTTCTGTTACTGTTTTCAGAAGAGAGAGCAGCTTTAATCACATCAGTGTTAAGTTACGAGAGACAAAGCTGACAAATAATCACAGTAGGAATCAAGAAAATGTATCGGAGACAAAAAGAAGACGTGAAAAATCAACATTCATCACTGGTTTCCAATTATTAAACTGCAATTTTGTTGCAATAATTAGAAAATGTTATCGCTATACTGGTTGATGGGTACGATTCGACTGGTATTTGTATCTTCACACTATATAGACACCAGTAGAGTGGCAGACAGAGCCGACAGAGGGGAAAGGAATGAGAGCGGTGGCTCAAAATGCCACACGACTCCTGTCCAGCTCCTGCTGGACAACATGGCCGCCGGTCGCCTCCAACACACACACACAACTAAATGCCAGCTATAAAGAAGGTAGTCTGGTGGACAGCGTCTTTGTGTGCGAGAGCAAAACAGTGAATTCCTTCAGTCAAAAAAGTAATCTGATATTTAGAGATTGACTTTTTCAATTAACTTCACTGATTATGTTCCTAATTTGATCTAAAAAAAAAAAAAAAATGTTTTATATCCAATTAGGGAGAAAATGTATTCATCTAAACGTGGGTGAAGCATAGAGAAGTACAGTTTGACACGGTTAACCGAAAGAGTAATATTCTGCTAATATTACACCAAGTGAGCTTCTACGACCGCAATTTTAAGACAAAACTAGATTTAAAAACTAGCTTTATACATTTGATTCAAAGCGTCTGAATACTGTTAATTATTTTGCAAAGATGAACACACAAAGACATCATCTCTAAGATAATAAACGATGCTTCTGTCTTTCACTGTAGGCAACAACCTGCTGCTTTTTCCACCCCGATCAAAACAATAGCGACTCCAGACTGTTCCAGTGTCTGTCTAGCGTCAGTGATGCGTCTTTCTTTTTTAAAGACGGAGGTTAACTCTGACCTTCCTCTCCCCCGAGACAGAAACCAGAGAAGCCAAACATCCGTATATGTGCCGTCACATCTACGTACAGAGTGCGTATCCTGTGGAGAATACTCATATAAAGGGCATCCAAGTGTAAGGCCAAACCAACTATGTTGTCGTTTTGTAATTCAATGAAGTAAAAAAACTAAAACAACCTAAGAAACTACAAGAAAAGGATAAAAAAAAACGTCACTTTTGCAGATTTTGACATCAATTCATTTCTCAGTACGCAGCATGAGGCCGTCACACTGGTCTGGAGTTTCCTTCTTGCTCTCTGCCAGATGAACTAGTTCAGACCTGTTACACCAGGTGAGTGCAGGTAAATCAGCTGGTCGGACAGAGAACCAGCAGGACCGAGAGTCTGCAGGTTTTATTCCCGACCGATTAGTTCTCTTTGAACCAGACGAGGTCTCTCTGTGAAACGTGACCGCCCGTCCAGTGATGCACGAAGACTTCCCTCAACAGACCGACCTCGGATTTGTTCAATGGGAAAACTTTGTTGCAACATTTTAGTTGTTGACCGATTGTTTCCTCCTAACAGCGTGCGATTCTTAGCGACCGCCTTTCAAGTCTGTTTGGTGTGGTTTGGTTGGTGAAAAAAATAAAACTAAACCTTTCTACCTTCAAAAAACAAACAAATAAATGAATGTTTGACAGCGAGTAGAAATTATATTTCCATTAGGTTTTGTTATCTGATGTTGAACTGGTGTGAGAGGTATGGTACCTGTAACTAAAACCTTTGATTTACTTTTCTGACTGAAAACATTAAGAGGGAATTCATTTAAAATATTCTCTTATTGATCCTGTGACATCAAAATAAAATACAAATAGTAAATGCACCGATAGACATCTGTCCGATACCAACTATAAACAGCTGGATTGGGTATCAATGACAATGGAATTAAATTCTATGTTTATATACAATATTTACTGGAATTTTAAGATTTTAACCAATTTGTTGCCGCATTAAAAAAGGTTTACACACAAAAATGATTTAAAGATTCTGTACAAAGTTGCTGGTGTCTGATTTATTATCGTAATATAAAAATAATTAATAACAAAATATATATCCATCTTTAATGGTTCCTTTTTGTTTAACAAAGTCAGGAAAGCAATGTTTAAGTGAAGTCTGACACTGAAGAAACTTCACATCGTCTTTAACATTTATTTGTCACCAATCTGTGTCTGCTAATCTCCATCTGCTATCTCTACTACATGACAAATTTACTATCTTACAAAGTAAATCAAAAAAGAGCCAATGTAGCAGTGACGAGTGCATTTGAAGCATTACGGGTAAGACATTTAGGAAAAATGATCTTAGCATCAGTATCGGCCACCACAGCACAGCTTCCTAACAGCCGGCATTAGTTTTAAAAACACCTGCTGATAAAGCTATTTCCTCTGTGAGGAAACATGTCTAACTCGTATCCAACATACAAAAAAATGCACAACAATCACAGCATCACTGTGTACAGCAGGTTTCTCAAGTTATTACTCAATTTTCAGGTCGGCAAATATTTTGTCATGTGACGTATGACATACTGCAGGAGCTCAACATGGATTCTAGTGCAATAATAATATATTTCTAATTAATTTACTTTATTACAGTGTCACAGACATCCAAATATATCTATGTTTCATTCAACAATTACTATAACTATGTATAAGTACTTGGATCAGTACACTATTGATGCTCCTACAGTAGTGACACAATATCAGAGCAGCTTGTTTATTAAAGTCACGTGTCTTTCATTTAAAACTTAAAGAAAGTACAATGCAACTTTTCAGATTAGAGGAAAACAAATCTTTGAAAACTTTTTACACACAATCAGTGTTTGCAAAAAACAAGCCTCCACTGAGTGATCAGGTGCATGTTTATTAGCTGGATCTCCATGAAGAAAACACTTATTCTGCCGGGAGGAGCACAGGAGTGACACACCGGAGCTAATTAAACTAACTTAAACAGTTAGGTTGACACAAGGAGGAGCGTGATTGCATGTTGTTTATTTTTTTATCCCCCCCCCCCCCCCCCACACACACACATCTTACCGGCTGATCCACAGGTCTGAAGCTCCCACGCAGCTGTTCGTGGGGGTGAAACGGTCCGCGGACAACCGGTAACTTTAGGCCGACAGACTGAAACAGATGTGCCGATGAACGAGAAGGTTAAGACGTGTACAAACTCACCAGCGCCTGCTTAGCATCCATCGATCAACTCAGCTAGCGTAACGTTCAACCAACTGACAAAATGTTGCACTTCAACTGTCATGATTTGTGCCTCATTTAAATAAAAACACAGACACACAAAGAGGTTATTTTTTTTAAATTAAGCTATAATGTGTGTACTAATAATAATAATACTGATAAGCATCACTAAACTGCCCTAAAGGAAGGTATCCCGGTTGCATGGCATAACGCTAGCTAGCTTAGCTCGAGCGCTTAGCTTAGCTAGCTCGGCTAGCTAGCAAATTAGCCAACTCTAAAGGGCTTTTGTTTTTGTTGTTTTTTGTTTGTTTTCTTTACCTTGTAGCATACGACGGCTAGGTGCGCACACACAAGAACAAGCTCAGACACACGGGAGTAAAAGTGCGAAAACATCGAGCACGCAGTGTGTCAGCGGGGCCTTTTTCTTCATCCACGGAAAAACACCGTGAAGGGCCTCTGGTTCTCCATCGGGCTGCTTTTTTTTCACCCGCTAACAAAAACTAGTTCCCCCCGATATGTTCATTGTCTTTCCGCCTCTGGTGTCACTGCTCCACCGGCTCAACGCTCCGCTTCACCGAGAGAGGAAAAAAAAAAAAAAAAAAGCCGCTTCTTTTGTTTTGTTTCCGTCGTGTTTTTCCCTCTTTTCTCCTCCTCTGTGTTTTCCGCCCCGTGTCAGATTTAGGTGTCCCCCCCCTCCAGCAGCAGCACCACTCCTCCTCCTCCTCCTCCTCCTCTGTGGAGACGACGGCGGCTCCTCCGATGCTGCTGCTGCTGCTGCTGCTAGCGTTAAAATGGTAGTTCCCTGTCTGCATAATGGTTCCGGGTAGAGCCGGGAACATGTCGGTCTGTCCAGCCGCGACCACTGAAACAAAACCACCTATTGCACCTTTTTCCTGTTCGCAAAAATATGGATTCAATCCTGCATGATGCTCATGAATAAATAAACCCTGTGTGTGTGTGTGCGTGTGTGTTTTCATTCCATTCTAAAAAAAGACAACAGTGCATTCTGACACTGAAGTGTGTGTGTGCGTGTTTTCTCACCAAATGTGTGAAATGTTAATGAGTCAATTAAAGGATATCATTACGGCGCATGCTGCATAACATTACAAGGTGTGTGTGTGCGTGTGTGTGTTTGCCTACTGCCTAATTTGCATTCAATTAAAGTTATTATTACAGTCCGACTGTCGCCGGCGTGTGGGTGTGTTTTAATGTGTGCATATTGAAAAACTATTTGGGTACCAAGTAATACACCTGCTGGGTTATATTTTTATTCCGTGTTGTGGGAATATTAACACTATAGTAATAATAATAATATTCTGTATATTAAATGAATAAATAAAAGCTCAAGAGGACTAGTAAAGGGACAAATCAAACTAAATCTATTCATTGTCTGTTGAGCTCTTACATCCATAAAAGTATTGATCGTTTCTCCACTTCTTACATAAATATTTTACATTTAAAGTGTGGCATCAAACCAGTTTAAAGGGCACACGAGGTGTCAAGTAGACAGCAGTGAATTTGGGCCCGCCTTAATAACGATGGTCTCTCTCCTGGGATTCTCCTCACTTTCTTAATTTAAGGGCCCTAATGAATTTAATAATTTGGGGGGGGGGGGGAGAGGTGTTGCTCCCCTGTGCAGAGCCTGAAATTGCTCCCTTGGGTGTAGAAACACCAGAAACACAATAGTTGGCATCGACACACACACACACACACACACACACACACGCTTACTTCCCCCCCCCCACCCACTCATTGACTCCCATTGAAACCACAGTGAGGGTCCGTTGTATTCTCTGGGAAACTATATTTAATTTCATGAAAAGATGTTTGAAAATGTGTTCAAATTAGATAGAATTTGTTATGAAGAAAATACAATACAAAAAAAGAAAAACAATACATTTTGGTACCAAACAGAACAGTATTTTGTAGTTTTGGGGCAGTTTGATTGAATGAGAAGATATTAAAGCGATGAAACGATAAATCAATCAGTTGATCAGCAGATTTTGGCTAAAATGTCCCAAAAAAAAGTGTTAAAAATAGTTAATTTGTCTAATCAACACTCCCAAACCCAAAGATACAATGTCATAAACAGAAAAAAGCAGCAAATCCTCACATTTTTCAAACACTTTTCTGTCAAAAAAAAAAAGAGTCAAATTGCATCACAAAAGACACAAACAAGGTTTAGTGGGATTTTCTTTAATTGTTATTATCAATTAAACAGTATGGTTTCTACAAACGCAAGAACCGATCACCGATAACAAAAAGGGTTGCACATCTGTGAGACCTTTGTTTGGATATTCTTGGAAATAGACGTATAAGGGGATGTAATAAATAAATGTATCATACAATTTGAGGTATGCAGAGTAGCTTTGAGAATACAAATATGCCCATGCCCCCCCAGTGGTTAACACACTCATACACGCAGTTTTATCAGGGGGGGGGGGGGCAATTAACTGAAAGTGGATTACAACATCTGTATCAGACCTTTGGAGGTATGAGGAGAGATGAGACATTAAAAATACAACGGAATTTTCACATCACTTACATGTCAGCACCCCCCCCGCCCTCTCTCTTTCTCTTCTAAAAGTTTAAAGATGTTTTCATTGTAAAAACCACGGAGCCTGTCCAGTCCTGTTAGCCAAATGCAAGTCACGATACATTCTCCTCTACGACACTCTTCAGCAGCAAAAAAAACAACAAAAACACTGATGCAACTGTGAAGACGCTGTCAATACTGTGTCTACCTTTTTGTGCCTCCTTAAAGTTCTGGTTGTTCAAAATCGCCTTTTTTTGCCGATACATATTCAGCAAAGACACAAACTCGTCAACCGAGTGATTCGTGACGTCACAAACGAGCCACTCGGCTGTTTCACTTCTATTTCAATACCAACAAAAACTCGACACAATGTAACAAGCCTTCGATAATTTACACTTTCAAAAGTCCTCGCTTTGGTGAAGGTAGCTCAACAAGGAAAGCTGTGATTGATCATCGTCCTTTTTTTTCTTACATTTTTCTTCAATTAAACGATGACAGGCCTTTAAAAAAATAAATAAATAAAAAAAAAAATAATGTCATCACAAGTTGATATGAACACGTTAACGACGGGCAACTCGGGCCTTTTAAGTCGTCTTTGTGACCCGAAGTTTGGTCAAAAATGAGGTTTCAGCATTCCTAAGAAGAAGAAGAAGAAGAAGAAGACACTGAGAGACACACAAATTAAAACGGACGCATGTACATTTACACACATACGCAGCATGACATCATAAGTCAGCACTATGACATCATTGCCTTCTGACATGCGGTTTCCTCTTTTCTCTTTGATTGCATCCATCAGCTCTGTTTAGAGAATACAAATGTTTGTTTTTTCTTCTTTTCGTTTTTCGATTCCACGAGAAAGTTTGAATAGTGAAAAATTCAGGATTATACATTAAAATTCACAGAGATTTAAAAAAATAAATACATGTTTGAGTAAAATGGAAATAAATAAAATCGTGATAAGAGCGTTCATCGTCTGATCAAGTCGGGCATCTTTACATGTATGATCATAAAGCTTTACCATGAGCACATGTATCGTAGTTAAAGACTGAAAATGGCCGTCAGGAAGCTTCGCCCAGTAATCAATCACTTTCAGTCTTTATCGAGGAGAAGCTGAAAACCTCAAACAAGGCCTCACAAGCCCCTTAAATCCACATTAAGGAGAGATCCAGCCTGAAAGGCTAGAAGGTCCATCTCACAGCCAGAAAAATAATAATAGGTACAAAATATGACATCATCATGGCAGCTCCGTCTCCTAAAAATAACGTTCCCATGCAACAAAACTGTGTTGTGAATTACATTTCAAAGGAAATGTATTTTTGTCGCTGAAACATAACCAAGTAGTACTTTTGTTGAACAATCAATTTCGTAGTAATTTTAAGCCAAACCATGTTTTTTTTACTAAACCTGACCAAGTCGTTATATAGCGGTTTCGTTTTGTTTCTATTAACGTTCAACGCAGGCGGGAAGAGTGAAGCCAAAGCTTCATGATTTAAACTTGCATTCTCTCTAGTGTCCACCAGGGGGCGACTCCTCTGGTTGTATAGAAGTCTATGAGAAAATGACTCTACTTCTCTCTTGATTTATTACCTCAGTAAACATTGTAAACATGAGTTTATGGTCTCAATCTCTAGTTTCAAGTCTTCTTCAATACAGCATGATGTTCATTTAGTACATTATGGTCCATTTAGAGTCAAACAGACCATAAAGCAGGGGATGCTTTAGGGCGGGGCTACACGGTGATTGACAGGTCTCTACCAGAGACGTATCAGACGTTTCTACGTCACTCCTCCTCAGTCCAAATATGGCCACTTCCGGTCACTGGTTGCAAAAAACAAGATGGCGACGGGCAAAATGCCGAACTCTATAGCTTTAAAACATCAGTCCACAAACCAATGGGTGTGATGTCATGATGCCTTTGTCTACCCGTTATACTCAGTCTGTGGTTCACCATGTGTTTGAAACATATATTGGAGGAAATACGAGTGTAGTTTATTTTTATGGGAACATATTTTTTTGTAGACAGGGTTGCATCATGGCTGCCTTTAAGCTTTAAAAAGCAATCATGGTCGTGTGTTTTTACACAAAAAGGTCCTTTGCTTTGCATCTTCTTGCATGTTGTTATTTTCTCTCTACACAAGAAAAAAAGAAAGGACAAACATATGCACGAGCATGCCTCCCGACACCGACACGCAGAGGAAATGAAAATGAGAAGCAGACGCTGTACAGAGACACAAAGATAATTCGGTATATAGCCCTTGGTGTGAAGTGTCCATTGCCCCCCCCCCCTTCCTTTCATACGAGGTGAGCAGCTCGACGTGCAGGTAAACACGTGGAAATCGTAGAAGCACTAGAAGGGCTCGTTAAGCGCCAATCGTTGGCACAAAGATACCCTCGACTCTCTGCAAAAGTCACAATGCAAAAAGTTGACAACAGTGTTTGAGGGACGTTTTGGTCGGTCAGAGTCTGCATGAGGTTAGTTCTTCTCCGTGAGCGGTCTAATTCAGGTTTTTTTTTTTACTCAATGGGTCACAGCACAATGTTTCATAGATATACACCCACTAGAGTTCACTGTACAAAGTTAAGCTAAAATCATACCGCAGAGTGGATTTTACTTTGAAGGCCCGGTCACTCCAGAAAGTGGCACAGCGATGTTGATCCGTCTGTAGCTCTAACTAGATTTTTCATCACCACATACATGAAATTTGACTTCTGCATTTAACCCATCATAAGCATATAGAAAAGCGTCCCGAGAAGCAACTCGGGGGTTTCGAACAATTCATTCAAATAACTGCAGCAACTTCATTGAAAAGAACCGATTTTGCCACAAAATATTGCCTTTTTAAATGCTGGTGTGACTGGGCCTTTATGTCAGCAGGCTGTGTCGATGTAGGTCTCGTTTTTACCTCCAAAATGGTTCATAATGTATTTCTATCTAGAGTGAATTGAGCCATAAAGGCAATCGAGTAAGGATATTTTTTTGCAGTGGATGTTATACTTTTAAATGTCCAATCACAAAGAAGATCAACCTAGTTACAAACTGGCCAGCTGAAGGATAAATATGTTTTTAAACCAAGTATACACAACGTCTTACAGGGCTCAGTAATGTTCATACTATTATCATCATCATCAGGTTAGTTTCATACAAAAGCAACTCGTTTGGTTTTAAATACTTTTTTTTCATAAATACAAAGACAAGCAAACCCGTCCGTCTCCGCCCCGGCGCTCTCCGTCATCCACAGTGGATCCAAAGACAGATTAACTCTGTCGGAGCTCTCGAGGACTCGGAGGACAGTGCAATAAAACTCAAGGACAAATCCGACAAATTTGATTCAGCGGGTATCCTTCAATAAAAGTCACAGCGAATACCCGGCAGCCTTTAAACTGCACTCGTACGAGGAGGTTTATTTTTTTTGCTCTTTTTAAGTGGACATTTCTGTCTTCCCTTTTTCAAAGAATGGCTGAATATTCTCTTTTATTTTCAACACACAAGTGACGCGGATAAAATCAGTTTGCTTTGCTCACGATGAGATTAATGTCGTCCTCTACCACTTTTTGTTTTATGAAGGGGGGGGGGGGGGGCAGCCAGAGCTCAAACCTCCCTTTGTTTTCTCCCTGCTCATCTCTCCACTTCATCTTCCCACTGAATGCCTCTTCAGCTTCTTTACAGCCTTCACCTCTCTACACTCTCTTCATCTTCCTCTCTCTCTCTTCCTCTCACACTGTCACCTCGTTCTTACTCCCAGTCCGCAGTCCCTGCACTCCTCCGCCTCCGGGGATGAAGTGCAGCTGTTCGATGGTGTTCTGCCTCTTGCTGGCGAACGCCATCCGTCGGGCGTTGGGGTGGCCTCCTCCTCCGCCGTACATGCCCATGCCGGGCATCGCGCCGGAGCTGCGCTCGCGGTCGTGGTCATGGTCGTGGCCCGGCGTCGGGTGGGAGTTCATCTTGATCATGTGGTGGCGTTCCATCGACGGCGTGACGCAGATGTTCTGCTGCGACTGGGTCTTCTGGTGGTGGCTGAGCCGGCCCATGGTGGGCACCATCCCGCCTCTGTCACCTCTGTCACCACCTCCTCCTCCTCCTCCTCCTCCTCCTCCTCCGATTATCAGGCCCATCATCAGCCGGTCCTCCAGACGGTCAGGGGAGACCAGGAGCCTCTCGTGGGACCTGGAACCAGACATCCGTTTATCCTCTCTACTATTAAACTATGCTCGTAAAAGTCCCTGAATAACAGCTCTATATTTAGCCTTAATTCAATATAATCATGAATTAATTTTCAATGGAGAGGTATCATTATTATATTAGCAAAACACATGATCACTTAACAAAATATGTTGTACAATTTGTTTGAGATTCTTGACAAAAAAAACAACAAGTTTTTAGGTTTACACATTAAAATATGTCTATCAGAAGTAAAGCATAACAGTGGCACAGTTTTCAAATTGTGATTTATATCAATATGGCAAAATGTATTATTATAACTGTGTGATTGTGTGTATTGTTTAAAATACAGCACACTATTAACACTTGAATCAAAGTACTGGTATCTTCCTCAATGATGAAGTTTTCTGTGGAGTACTTATATGTTGATTTGATGTGCAACAGTAACTTTATGTTGTACCTTCTGATGCAACCTGGGTTTATACCTCTAAATATATAAATGTATATTTTATATATTATAAAACCCTGCATGTAAAACCTGTTTATCAGTGATCTGAATTGCCAGCGATCTAGTTGAAAAGTCCAGAACATGCAAGTAAGTGAACCTTGACTTGAGACAATTTAGTCAGGAACAACCGGAGGAGCTAAACTAATAAACTATGATCTTCTTGTTATGAACTCTCATCTCTCATCTTCTTCTTCCCTCCAGTGTTTCCTCTGCCCTCCCATCCTGTGTCTTACCTGCGGAGCGTATGCTGGTTGGAGCTCCTGCTGGTGCTCATCATGGCTTTGTAGTACTGGTGCTGCTGGTTCTTGGACAGGCGGGACAGCGTGTTGCCCTCCCCGAGCAGCTGGTCTTGGGAGCGGACGCGGCGCGGCGGCCTGTCGAAGGAGGAGCTGGTGTAATGCGTCTGTGCGGGCAGCGGGTACGGGTTGGGGGTGGAGGCGGGGATGTGGAGGCGGGGCCGGGAGCCGTGGAGGGGCAGCGTGCCTCTGGACCCCAGCGTGTAGTTGGACCCCAGCGTGTAGTCGCCCCCCCACGGCAGGTAGTGCTGCGACGAGTAGAAGGAGGGCGGTGCGTTGTTGGAGCGACGCTTGGAGTTGTAGTAGTTTGAGTACTCGTCAAGTTCTTTCTCTGGTTCAGCAAAAGAGAGAAAGAGAGTATTATTGATTAATAGGTTAGTTATTCGATTTATTTATCCTGCGGTCTATAAAAAGCAGAGATAAAAGGGGAGATTTGTCCCATTTTTGATTAGTTAGAGCCTTCAATAGAGAGATGTTTCACATTGGAAATATGATGCCCGACCATCTCAATGTTCAGTACATGAAACAGGCTGACCGTTAACACACACACGTTCCACATGACATGACACATGCGCACACAGCGGGACAGTGACGTCACTCTCTCTCACACACACACACACACACACACACACACACACACACACACACACAC